ACAGCCTTTCCATTTCAAGCTCTCGATATACAAGAGTTCGTTGGTTTTGCAGCTCCTTTCCATTGTACTTGTTTTAAGAAATTTATAGTCAAGGCATCAAGCTGAACAGAAACCAGGCTTTATTTCTTAGTCAGGATGCAGGTTAGTATTCCCAGTGCTTTGTAGCTGAAACAAAAGAAGCTTCACTGTAAAAGAAAATGCTTCTATTATGTACTTAATTAAAACACGTAGTTGTCGTTTCAAGCTTTAACGAAGGCAGCATTCACAAACTTGGATGTTCATCCAGCTCATCAGAGCTTCAGTTTTTTCTCTATGAAGTCCAAATTGGAATGAGCATCAGGGTGCTTAGTAAGGAAATACATCTTTCATACAGAAATCAACAACTTTCTAGCGTTTTTTAACATATATAACCACTTTATTTAGGATCTTGTTTACTGTAGATGTGCCAAATAATGTGTTAAGGGATGGAAAGCAATGGGAATTTATACTTCCCATAGCTAAGGAGCACTGCTGGACATTTTTATACCCTGGATTAAGAAAAAAAGGTTAATTGTTTTAAAACAAACATGGCCATAAAGATTACAGTTGCTGTAAATAGTTTTACGGGAATCATTAGAGATGTCAGAGATTTCAGCAACATTGATAAATTATTAAATTTAATGTATACTGTAGATCATAGAAGCAAAGAGTGAAATGCTTGAGGGAGACATTCCCCTGCTACATTCATAAAATATACAGTGGCAAAGCAGCCGATGCTAGGCTTGGAAAGGTACCAGAGAGAGTAACTACAAGTTGTAGTTTATGGTTCTTTCTGTGGTACATGACAATAAACAAGGGGGAATTTAGACATATTTATAAAATAAAGGGGCATATAGGGTTGTGAAAGTGTGCAGCTATAACTTAAAACCTTGTGGACTGAAGCTTCCAGTAAAGCACAATTTAGCTGACATTCCAGTGAGAGAGATTTTTGTTAGGGCATGCTATGATAGCCTGGGTTCTGTTTGTCCTTTGGGCTAGGGACAGACATTACACAAAAACCGGTTTAAGTGATCAGAAACTGGTCTAAACCTGTAATAGCACATAAGTTCAATGTATATAAACCAGTTTCAGAATGCCTGAAACTGGTTTAAGATAAACCTGGTTGAATGTGTATCAGGCTTAACTGATTGAGTCAAACCAGTTGATTTGGGTCAAACCAACCCCTTCCTGGTTTAAGTTCAGCCAGAGTCCCCCAGCATCCCAGATGCTTTGCAGCCCTGGGCTAGGCTATGCTATTGCTCCAGAGAACAGAGCTGGCCCCACCCCTCTGTTCCCTAGCCACAGCTGTGGCTGAGACTCCAGGCATGGCAGTGTCTGCCTGGCTTCCCTCTGCCCCATCCCCTCTTGCTGCTTCCTACTCAAGCAGGGATTCCCCCTCCCTCCCTTCTACCTCCTACAGCATGGACCCTAGCCATGTGGTATGCTAGCTAATGCTGAGAGGTGTGTGTGTCTCCAATTTCACTGGGACAGGACAAAGGAAGACAGTACAATGTCTGCTTAGGGCTTTCTAGATCTAATCAACAGGTCAGCTGGTAATGTCCCCCCATTCCTTCCCTGGGAAAAGCTGTTTAAGAGGGGCTTGAACTAATGAGAGGCTTTTGTTTTCTGGATGGGCTTATAACACAGTGTTTATCAGCCCCCTGATAAACAATGGGGAGGGAACCATCAGAGACCCGATAACAGTGTTATCAGCCCCCTGCTGTCTCCCTCACCTGTTGGGTTTGCAGATGGTATGAAGAAGCAGGGAGAGGGAGATTGAAAAGCTCAGTATCATCAGTAGATGCATGCACTTCACACACACCCTTTGCCTCACAGTGCTAGCTGAGGGCTGGCAACACTCCTGCCCCTTGAGTAGCAAGCAGGGAAAAACCTGAGATGGTACAGGCAGCGTGGGGGCTTACACCCCTTCCTAATCAGAGTGTCCTGCCAGGGCCTGGCCATGCCCCTCTCAGCTCCGCACTGAGAAAGGGAAGGGAGGGAAGCTGTAGCACCTCTCAATTTCTAGCTCAAGCCACTGTAGACATGTGCCTGCATTTCCTCAGTCCAGAGAGAACATCTGTGCAGTTGCAAACTGGTTCAATCTAAGCAGGTTAGACTAACCTTCAAAATCTGGGTGACACGTGCTGCCTTAGTCACGGGGGCATGTGCCCCCCCCCCCCGGTGACCAGTCCTTATGACTGAGAGGGGGGCCCCCCCGTAGCCAATCTTGCTGCTCGGGCAGACCCCCACAGCCAATCCCGCTACAGCCAATCGCTGCAGCCTTTTCTGGGAGTGGCTGCAACAATCAGCCAGTGCTTGCAGTTGGGGTGGGGGCCACTGGCGCTCCCTCCTGCCCTCCCTGCCCATCGCCTAAGCTGCAAGCGTGGCCAGTCAGGGGGTTCACTGGCACTCTCATGGGGTGCACATGCAACCCCTATGTATCACCACTTCTGCAAAGAATGAATCAATTCAGGCTTACACATTTTGAATGTCTGTCCCTAGCCTTGATGGTTAACTCTTGAGAAACCACAAGGTGGCCTTTCTGCTTCGCCTACCATTCCAAAGCATCCTAGTTTCCCCCCAGAAAACACTATTAATAAAAGCTTCTTGGCCTTTATACATCCTTTCCTCAAGTATTATGTCACTATTCCCTCCCCACTGTATTTGTATGGATAAAGTTTCTGAAATATTTTGAAGTAACATTTAAGTTATTTCTGATCTGCATTTGTGTAATGTCAATCTCTAAACCATTTCTTTTGTTACTAGAGACTTCAATCAGGAGGATTCTAACTTTCAGGAAAGTTCTTAAGTTTCATCAGCTGATTATAAAGAGAGTGGCATAAAAAGATATAAATGATAGCAATTCTCCTAAAATCAAAATCGTTAGACTTTCAGCAGGTCCTTTATCAAAAAGCAGAACAAACACAGATGCCACAGAGCAGTTTAAGAGTTGTTGAATAAAAGAACACAGCTTCACTCTGCTCTAATCCTATTAGTACAGGCCTTTATCAAACAAGATTTTCTTTGCTTCAGAATTCAAGGGAGTAGATTATAGAAGACTGTTTCAGATTTTGTTTCCTCCTCTTCATTTTGTGACAAAAGAAAATTAAACGTGAGGTTGAAAGTTTGTGAAAGACTTCAGATATGCTTCTGTTGGGGAGGGGGTGGGGGCAGAATGTTAAGGTATGTTGCTGGTATCCAAAAACCAAACTGTACAAAGAAGGAAATTCAAGAGTAGTGATACTTAAATGGAATCCAAGTATGTGAAGGTATAAAAATATACAGTGTAATCAGTCATCTAAACAACTTTAACTTTTCTCATTGGTGATGCTATGTAATAATAACATAAAACAACGAGCTATACTAGTTTCCTAAAGGTTGTATCCCAGCATCCTAGGACTCCCTGAAATGAGGTTTCATTACAGATTTTGAATATCGTACCATGTCAACTGAGATGATGCAGCAAATGTTGCCTGCTGCTATAGAAACATAATTATCCTGTCTTCAGGTCAGGAAGTAGCCTCTGTCCAACCCCTGGCCAGTTAATTAGCTCTTCCCCTTAGCAGATGTGAACAATGCTATATTGCTTAGTTGTGGTGCGGTGGCACATGGAAAGTTGCCTGTGCCTAATTGGCAGGTTAGCCCATCCATAGTGTCTCACTATAATGGCTAATATAACCAGAACTAAAAATGGTATCAGTTACTCTGAATCTGAAGATGCACAGCATGCTCCCTTTGATCACTTCAGCCATACCATTACATCATTTAAATGTGTGCTGTCCTGCATTAGGATAACTAAATTAACTTCTATTGATTTTGTTTTTCCTTGCTACTCTCAATAAGAATTGCAGGTACAGATCTCAATTGTTTTCTTTCAACTGGATGACCTTTTATTTTATGCAAAAATAAAAATAAAATTAGCAGAAAGTAGGGCAGGGTTGCACCTTAGAGAGTAACTGGTTCGGAGGTAGATGAACTTTTTATAGGAAATAGCCTACTTCATCAGATGCTATAAATGTCACCTATTCACCTGTGAACGCTCATGCCTTCCTGATCAATTTAGTCTCTACAGGTATGGGCATATGTACATTTGGAGCTGGTTCAGAAGAGCACCAGCTGTTATGTTCTAATTGTTATGTATGGACAAGCAGGAAACAATACAAATGTAACAAAACCATTCCACTTTTAACAGCACCTCATCCAGTTTTAAAGATGGACCAATTTTGCTAAATTTTTATTATTCCCAGCTTGTCAACATGAAAAAAATAAAATATAATAGCTGCAGCTCCTTTGAACATTTCCCTTTTGAAACAGCTCCAAATGGACATATGTCCATATCCTAAGGTACACCCTGCCTGACTTCAAACTAAGAACGCTAACCACATCTCTGCACAAAGAAGGGAAGGCAAATGCATTTGCCTGTCAGATGCTGTAAAATGCCTTCATATAATATTCCATCCTTCAGTTTCTCTCTCAAATATTACAGCTTACTAATAACTTATTTGCTTATTTGAGTAAATATGATCATATTGACTGATGTTGTTTGGTTGGATTTGGTTGTTGGGTGGGAGGAGAAATTATTGTTTATATTGTTAAGTGAAAACTTAAAAACAGCAACACTTTATTGCTTTTGTCTCAGCTAAATGCCCAAATAGATTTCCATATTAGGCCTCAGGAAAAAGTTGTAATAATCACTTTTTACCAAATCTATTCATCATTTTTCATTATTATCAGATTATCCCATCTGATCAGACTCTCTGTTATTTTATACCTACAATAGCTTGGTAACAAACTTTGCTTTCTGAGTACAAACTGTGAACATTTGGGGTATGACCAAATATCTTTGCCCACTCCATCCAAATTTCTGTTCTGAGAACAGTTTTTGCACCCATTTAGAAATGGACTAATTTGGTTTGAAATGACTTCTAGTATTTTTGTGAATTTAACAAAAATTTGTAATCATTCCTTAATAAATATTTCAAGTATAAAATTGTCCTGGATTCTGATGCACCAGAATATGGAGGCCATCAAAGACTGGATCACGGCACAGAGTACTTTACTGAACAGTATCCACATAATTATCAACCTAATTCACTTTTGGTAAGTAAGATTTTTCTTTCTAGTACAGTAAAAGTTCTGTTATCTGGCATCCATGGGGAATAGAGGGTGCCGGTTAATCAAATATGTCAGTTATCTGAGAGTTATACTTAGCCATAGTTGCAGGATGGGTGAGATATTCAGCAGTGAAGTCATGATGCAGCACAAGCACAATGCGATCACAATGGCGGATGTTTACAATTGAAACTCCCGCTAGCAACACCACTCGGCAGCATCCTGAAGCTTCCATAAACAACAGATCTATGAGAAGCGCACGGCAAGATGTATTGCCATCTATGACAGATGCCAGTTAATAGAGCATTCCAGATGGTAAAGTGCTGGATAACACAACTTATACTGTAGATAACTAACTTTTTATAAAGTCATATAACATTCAAAGTAATTTTGAAGTATTTGTCATTGACTGAAAAGAACTCTAGATATGTTTGAGTACGTACTTGGAATGTTTTTCAAAAATGCCCTTTGCATGAAGACAACAGCTGAAATTAAAGGTTATTGGTGATGATCTGATTGGTTTTATGACTTGAATGCAAGTATTTTTTTTTACATTTTTAAGTAGCATGCACCGTCATAAGACAAACTTATCATGCTATAAAGATTATTTGCAGAGAAACATGCATGAAACCATTTTATCATGCATTTGATTTGTGCCACAATTAATATTATCATTCATTTGCTTCATTTTCATTTTTTTAATAACCTGCATGTTTGTGTTAACACTGTAGAAGCTACTGTGTACACATAGTTTCATCCTTCCCCTCATTTTTTATGAGCAAATCCATAAACACTGGACTATAGAAAATTATGTATTTACAAGAAGTTTCTCTCTCCTCATCTTGCAAAGAGATTTGGGAAGTATATCACCATGCCTCTGTTCTTTTATTTACATCTGTGTATACACATATGTGTATTATAGATGGATTAATCTACTAATGATATTATAATATACATAATATGTAATGTATAATTTATTAATAAAGATTCACTCTTAAGTATCATGTATGGAGTGATTTGGTCTAAGCCAGATTTGTAGTTGAAAACTGTTTACATCACCAAAAATACCAACAGAGCTGGCATTCTTGCATGTAGACTTCACATAAGCTAAGATTTGAAAATTATACAGACATTTTTTACTTTCTGCTTCCAAATTGAGCCAAGTCGGTCAGTACTGAACTGTGTGGGTTTATCTGGGTGAGAAAGTTTGTACCATATCTATATACAATAGGTTATATTTTACTATTACTATGTAGTGTAGGCTACAGTGCATCCCTGAGAGTGACAACGTTTCCGCTTGTGCCATATACCTTCCACAGTTAAATGGGAGGACTTCAGTCCCGAGTCATCTCTTGGGACCTTACTTAAACAAAAAAAATTGATTTTATACATTGATGAGAGTGAGAAGGTTTTGTATATTTTTTTCAGGCTATCAACATTTTTAAAGTACATTTCATTACAGAAAAAGAAGATGACTTTCTAGGGACCTTGCACCAGTTTTTTTAAGGTCTTTATGAACATTTTTTATTTTTTTTAAATATCTAAGCATCCTAGGGCTTTTATGGTGCAGGTAAGTACACTCATTTTACAGATAGGGGAAAGTGAAGATTGAGATGGCCTCCCTCAAGGTCCTATAGTGCTCCAGAAATCCTAGCTTCATCCTAGTCCAATCTACTATCTTGGTGAAAATTAACATTCCGCTGCTTTACTACTAAAATAACAATTGTGAGCCTTATTAATCTCAACTTGGAATTTAACTACTACATGCAGATGACAAATACAGCAAATTAAAAAAAAAAAGCGTAATGTGACATACAAAGGTGAAATCTGGTATGAGCATGTGGAAGATAAAGCATGTGACATGCCAATAAGCAAAACGGCTAATATATTCTTACAGCACAAGCTCTGGCATGGCAATGACACTTCTGTGTCAGTAGAAAACCAGAGAGTGTGGGTCACATTGCTTTCTTGTATCTCCCAGAGAACCAATTCACAGACCAGCTTTGATGGCAAGCCCAGAAGATGGTATCTAAACCACCTACAGGTAAAGTGGCACCAGTAACCATGGTGGGGAAAATGATGCTAAAAATGATGAGACAAAATGTTAGCACTTAAATAGGGCAGAATCTGTTTGGTTGTTGAAACCTTCCATAACTATTTTATGGTGAAACCTTTACAAATGTCAGTTAAGATCCCAATTTTAGTTAATCATTTCCCTTTGTTTGAGGACTATTAGATATTACTTGAGATTTTTCAAATCTAACTAGATAATTTGACCTTACAGCTTCCATTAAAACTAATCAAAGTTGTGTAGCTAAATCTCTTTTAGCCAGCATTTAAAGTTGAAACATTTTTTAAATAATATTAAATTAGCTTGTCCTTTTGAACTAAAATTTCCTTATTTTAAAAATCTGAATTATTCTCAGTTATAAGAAATCGTTTTATTATCATATGCACTCATTAAGTAAGGTTGCATCCAGAAGCTTTAAAAAAAACCTAAAATAAAGCCCATCTGCAGAAGGTGCTCAGAACCCTATACAAAAGAATAAAATCATATGCAAAATCATATGCAGTAATAACCATGCAAGATTACACAAATAGGGGTATCTAATTTAAAATGGGAAGTAATGTGGACTATGTCACTCTAAAGAACGTCATTTTTTATAGTATATAAAATTGAGGAAGAATTAAGTATAGCATAGCTAGAGGGAAGAAAAACATGAAAAGTGACATCTACAACATAAGGCCGATTAGGTACATTGAAAAGTTAGATTTATATGGGCCTAACTAGGGTTAAGTTAATCTAAGTGCCAATTTGTACTGATGTTCGGGGAGGTTAAATTAGGCCAGCCATTTTTCACCCAATCTAAATTACTTCACCTGAGAAGGTGTACTAAGTTAGATGAGGAGTGGGTTAGCCTAATCTACCAAACATCTGCACATGTTCAAAGCTCAGTCCCAGGGCTGGAAAAGCCCAGTTTTTTGTCCCAGCCTGGGGCTGCATTCTTCCTACCCCTCCAGCCCTAACCAAACCATTTTAGCCCCCCAACTCCGCACCACTAGATGGACAGCTTCCACCCTCTCCTCCACCCCTGCCCAACCAGCTTCCCTGTGGACAAGTTAGTCACTGCTCTGATCCTGCCTGCCCCTTTCTTCACCAGGTTACTGAGATGAGGTTTCTGGCATAACTCCTAGCACTATCAAATGTGTAACAAGCTGCTCCCGATCTGTTATTACATGGGTTAAACAAAGCTGCCTGATCATAAATCAGGTGTGATAAAAGTTTGCATGTACCCTTAAAGTATAACTTTGGTCATCGGCAGAATACAAGCAAGTTGATGATATGTGAGCATAGGTAACTGTTTGTGATAACTGTAAAGGCTAGGTTTCAAAACCATTGAGAACTCATTTATAAAACCTTATCTAACCTTGATTATAGCTTGCTAATTTTGCCATTTTGCTACTCATCCCTATTTCTGGCTGATTGGTAAATAAATTAAACATAATTCTAGAATGTAACCTTATGTAACGTCCCATTGTTTAAGTGTTTGCCATGATGTAAACTGGCCTACTAGTATTTTTATTTTCTATTACGTGGTTGCTAATCTTTGACAGTACCTTATCCAGTGACTTCTTCCCTAATGGACTAATTTCAAAGGTGTTATAAATGTGTTTGTGTGTTTCACCCGTTTGTTTTAAAATGGTCTGGTCAAGGGGAATGGAGATGTAATTAAAGTTCCTGCTAGTTCAAATTAGTTGTATTTCCAGTTATGTTAAATATACCTGATATTCCTTTACTTGCAAAGGAGACATGGAACTTATCAGCTGGTAATGCATGTATGGGTGACTTCAGCATTTCAAAAGAAACAAAAATAGAACATTAATGGGAAAGGTATTTTAAAACAATGTCTATCATTAGTTTGGTTACTCAAATTAATTGCAGTCAGGAAATGGGACTTTTAATGGAAGCTGATTTGTAAAATGGAATAAGAGACCAGTAAATCTTTTGACTGTTTAAGGCTTTCCTTAGCAATCCTCCTGCATACAAGAGAATATTGTACCTTACATTACAAAACAAGTTCTATATTTTACCATGTACTTCTGTTAACAGCTCTTCCCTACTTCAGAGCATCAACAGTGGCCACTAAGCTGTTGTACATGGCAGCTACCTAATATAACTATAGAAGCTTATGTAGATTTCTAAAGGTAGATATTTTGCCAGCGTTTTTGTCCAGAGTAATGTAATGGGCCATAGTCTACGTTCAGTAAATTATCTACAGGAATACTGACCCTTCTGATAAGTAGTTGGCAAAATAATTCTTTAAAATTAATAAAAGAATATAATTGTCAGTAAAACTTGAGCTCATTTTCTTGAGTTGTGCCAAAAATATCTTGAAACAAATACTTTGAAAGGAACTAGTCAATTTCTTTTATGCACTGACCCAGATACATTAAAGCATCCTATACCGGCTTATTTAAGGTATCTGACTATGTTTTATTTAAATAAAACTGAATGTGAATTGCTGTTAAGAAAATCCATATTGATGCTTTTCACCTTGTTTCCAGACTTATAATACTCAATATTAGCATGCAGTTTTCTGCACCCTAGAGACAATTGATAGACAAAAGCACTCTTGTAGCCTGAAATGCAGTTGGAGATCCTAAGCTTTGAATATAGTGATTTGAATAACTTCCATGAGAAGGATTTGTGTATTGACTTTTAAGGGTCTGATGTAGGCTTTAACTGACTGTTTCTCCCCCTTTCCACCCCCTGCACATAAAGATTATGGTGAAGAAGCTTTGTAGTTAGAAAATTAACTGATTTAAAGGGGAATGGGATAAATCTTTAATACCAGCAAGCTCTTTTGATATTTTACCTCCTGTTGTGTACCTGATTATTGAGGCTTTCTAAATTTTATTCACTCTTGTACATAGATTATTTGACTTCTGAAGGAAAGAAAAACAGTGCAGAATGACTTTGAAAACAGTGTGCTTGCCATGCTTTCCAAAAATTCACAATTTTAAATAAATAACACTGAAGAATAATCAAGCAATTTGGGTTTAAGAGTTATTGGTTGTAGCTGTGTTGGTCTAAGGACATAGGCAGACAAGGTTCTTTGGGCTGATGCAATATCTTGTATTAGACCAAATAAATAATTGGGAAAATTGTTCTTTGCAAGCTTTTGGGCACAAACACCCTTCTTCAAGCATGAGGAGAGCTGGTGTTTGTGCAATACTTGGAAGTTATTTTACCTAAATGAACTGAGACAATTTTGAAAAGTGAGTTTCTGCATATTCATATATTATATCATTTATAGCTGTAAATTATGGAACAAATGGGAAGCAAACTTCATTTTTCTCCCATTTTAGTAAGCAACCATAAATCATGTTGTATGTGTAAAAGGTTTAGTCAGGTGCCTGATTAATCTGATTGACCTTCAACATGTATGTCTAGGCAAAAGTATGGAGGGGTGGGGGCTGCCCAGGGCCTACCCTCCCGCCTTCTTAGACCACTGAGATGGAGTGCAAAGGCGAAACTGAGTCCAGAAGTTCAATGCCTCAATGGTTATAGCTTCTGCCAGAGAGCAAAAGATAAGAACTACTGTTGACTGCCTAATGCCTCAGCAAAGACACGTTTCTGTCAGGGTAATGTCCCCTTAGCCTTTCTTCAACCAAGGAGTACCCACAAGGCAGTGGGGGCTAAGGTTTTGAAGTGCCCTCTACTTACCTTACTCTGGAGATTGAAACATTGTGATATTTTATAGGAGCTACCCTGCCATGAGTAGCGCCACCATGTTGCCACCAGGCATCCAGTTAGATGCAGTTTATAGTTATACCCAGGACCATCTGCCATTTACTATCTTACAAAATGTTACTTAAAATATATTTGAGATTACAAAAAACAAATCATATGCATAAATGAAACTTATTCAGCTCTTCAATCACTGATGGTTAATTCTGTTTTCAGTACAGTATCAGTGCCAGCTAAGAGCAGTATAAATGTGTGGTCCTCTCCACCTAGTCATGGTGGAGAGGCTTGTGTGTTCCAATGACCCTCAGAGCCATGTCATCCTAGCACTTATCCATCAGAAGAGGACCGCATTCTGAAGTTGGCAAAATTAACACTCCAGTATGACCTCCACACAGTCTTTTGCAGTGGATCAGAGACAGACCCATGTACCATCTGTAATAGTGTCAAGTGGGGCTGTGTCATCACCCCAACCCTTTTCTCCATCTATCTTGCTGTGATTTTGATTCTCATCCATGACCACCTTCCTCCTGAAACTGGGGTTGAGTATTGAATAGATGGTCAGCTTTTCAAGCCATGGTGCCTCCACAGCAAAATCAAAGTTACTAAGACTGGCATCACCTACCTTCAATACACTGATGAGTGTTATCTTCACGTACACTGAGACCAATCCACAGTCCACCCTTGACCTTTTTTCAGATGCCTATCATAGCCTGGGACTTTTTAAATATTGGGAAGACCAAGGTGCTTTATCAGCTAGGCCCAGCACAAGCTACCTTTCCTCCCCCCACAAATTGCCATTGATGGAGGACCCCTGGATAACATCAAGCATTTCCCATACCTTGGCAGCCACCTCTCTAAGTCAGTCTTGATGTAGAAATCGAACATACGATTCACTGTACCAGCATATCCTTTGGAAAGTTTATCTGCCGTGTCTTTGTTGACCAAAATTGGCAAATGGAAACTAAGATCTTGGTCTACAATGCAGTGATTATCCCCGTACTCCTACAGGTGTAAAATGTGGGTGACATATAGTTTCATAGATGTTAGGGGATTCAGGCCAGTGTCTGATTAGCTCTGTCAACTATGGCATTGCATTGGTGGCTCACATTCATTTTGTTGTCTATCACGACACCCAGCTCTCATTCAGTTGTGGTGCTGGCAAGTGTAGCACTGCTGAGCCTTTAAGTGTGTTATGGATTATTTCTCCCCAGATGGAGCACTTAACCTGATGTTGTTTGATATGGAGAAATGTAGATATTGAAGCCATTTTAAGTTCCTGGAATGGTTCCATC